GGAAATTAACATGTCCACAAGTTACACAGGGTTCTGTAGGAAACCGCATCCACAGATCTTTAGAGTTTATCCGAATTCAACTCTAGCTTCAGGTAGAAGAGCGGGAGCTAAGTGCTTGAGCTCCTGACTTTTGGGCCTACTAGGCCCAAGCGGCCTTGAACCTAAACTGCATGGTGGCTCCTGATTCTGGGCCCTAGCCCTGACTTGCTTTCTGGGTGTGCGATTCAGAGTTCGACTCCAGTATGGATGTAGTATGAGCAGCTGATAGAAACCAAAAGGATCCTTATAAATCTTGGCTCAGGCATTTGTTCCTAACAGCCAACATCATGTCTCTGATCCTCCGTGCTTTCTGCTCCACAGATCCTGCGTGCCCGACAAAGATGATAAGGTCCCAGGGGTGCGCCCCGACGATTCGGGTTACCTGCGACAGGCTCTCTGAAGCAGAGCCACTGGTCGGGGCAACCCCAAAAAATGGCCCCGACTGATTTAGGGAATCTGCCTCAAGAATGTCTGACTTGTACTATCTGGTTACTATCTGCCAACAGGCAATTCAAGTGAACCTGAAACTCCGAACACCTCACTCAAGCCCAATCTGTGTCCACTACAGGGCCAACATTCAACCTTCCGTAGTAGACACTTTTAACCACCTCCTCAACCTGAACCCGCAATCGCGGCGCAGCCCTAAACCCTGAAACCTGAGCCCTAGAAGCCTTTGAAGTTTCCTGCCTCCTTCTCCGTGTATTTCTCCGCCGATTTGGACTGCACCTCAAAGTCCGCCCACTTTCAGGTTTTGGGTATCTTGGGCACCGGCTAGGGTTTTAGACTTTTCGAAGTGAGAATTTACAGAGCTTAGGCAGTTCAGGTCTCAAAGGCTGTAGCGTTTACAGGGCTTGGACCGAGATAGCCCAGTTCTGCCTACGTTCCAAGGCCACGAGCACGAGTGTCGGCGGTGCTGGTATGCCAGCATGCCGACTGAATCATGGTGCTGCAGCAGGTGAGGAGCCAGCGGGTCGTATGCGGAGGGAGGAAATGTTTGCCAAGACCAATGCTTGTAAGCAGCGCAGCGAGCTCCATCATGGTGCAAACCGGTCCCGGAGCGATAGCAAGTCAACACACCCACCAAATACAATGGCTAGCTATGTAAGCATTCGGATGGAAGTGCGACAGCTGGGAGTTGCGTTTAACAAGCTACATACAGTCATCCTGAATCCTGAACAGTCAGGCAAACGATAATCGGATAATACAGTCCCTATACAGCCCATACTCTCTCTACTTCAAGGCCTCAATCATTACAGAACTGGCACCGAAACACCAAGAGGATCATTTCAAAGCACTGTCTTTGGCTCCAGTTTCCAACACAAGCTTCAGGAGAGTTCGCCCGCCACTGTTGCGCAACAGAAGCTCAATGCACTCATAAACGAAAAACAAAGCAGTCCTTCACTTCAAAGCGCTCTCGTTAGAAGCATGTCCACGGCGCATTAAATTCATCAAGCAGCTTGCCGCGCCACCTTAAGTTCCGTAAGGCGTATAGTGTATACACACATAGCCAGGGCAGTGAGTCAGGCACATTGCTTGTGCCGATGCGGCCAGGGGGTGCCTGGGGCACATTGAAGGGAAGGTTTCGGCTCACGGGACGGCCTCAAATTCAGGTTGAGGGTGCAGGGGTTTCGGGTTCAGGCTCAGGGTGCCACCGTTTCCTGCTACAGTGGCTTCAGGGGTGTAGGGGCTCATCCGAGTGCGTGTAGGGCTTAGGATTGCTGCAGCCATGCCTTTGGGGTTGTTTCGGGTTCAGGAGTTCAGTCGGGGCTGCGACCCCGCCGACCGTGGGAGCATGTAGCGGCCTGTTGCAGGATGTCCTTGCAGTAGCCATAGCAATCTGAGAAGATCAGCACCTCAGGCACACTTCTGGTCTTCTTTACTCCTGTATAGGAGGGGGAAAAGGTGCCCGATTCCCGAATTGTCAAGAACCGGTCCTGAAAAGCTCCTGGTTCCAGTTGCTTCCCCACAGCGCTGCACATCGGGGTTTAGGGTTTGGGGTCCTATAGGATTCTGATGCTCACGCACTGGATCTGGGACTTGCAGGCAGCCCCAAGAAACTCCTCAGCTCACATTTGGGTTTTGGGGTTTGGTGACTGCAGGGTGTTTAAGTTTCAGTGCTCTCAAGGTTTTCAGCCAGACCTCTTGCCCCCGCTGGAACTCTGGGTCGCGCGGCATCCTCCGTCTCCACCTGCGACATGTCGGGAGGTGGCCATTTTCCGCCATCCTCGGCACGATCGTGGGCAGGGCAATCGCACTCAGAACACAAGGAGCCAGGGGCTACAGCAAGTTCTAGAGGGGCAGCTTTGGGCTTGCGAGCCCAGAGCTGGGGGTTGAAGGTTTTGAGCTTGGGTGGTCTTCAGGGGTTGAACCAACTCGTGCCTACAACCCAGACCCACGGCTGCCCGAAGCCACCGAAGTTTCGATGAAAAGGAAAGCCTGAAAATTACAAAATTATTGAGCCCTTAGCCCGGAACCCTGCAGAACCCACCCCCCCCCCCCCCCCCCCCACCACCAGAAAGCCCCTAGGTGTGGGGCAAGACAACCCAGGGGGTCCGCTGCGCTCCTCGGCACGTTGAGGGTTGCTAATGCTTTGGGGGGCTTGTTGGTGTGAAGAGTGGAAACAAGGCAAGAAGAAGCCATCCATAAATCTGAGAAGATTCAGGCCACAGCTCCGCAGAGTTAACTTAATGGACTATAAACATGCTGTTCTGAACCGCCTGAAATAACACCATCCTGCCCTAAGCCCTAAGCTCCAAGCCCTAAGCCCTAAGCCCTAGGCCCTAAGCCCTAAGCTGGCCAAGCCCCAAGCCCCAAGCCCAAAGCCCTAAGCCCTAAACCCTAAACCCTAACCCCTAGGCGCCCGACTGCAGGCGGAAGTAGATGCTGTTGCCAGCAGCATTCTCCGTGGGCATCGGCTCCGGGAACCACTCCACGGGCCAGCACCTTAGGGTTTAGCAGTTCAGGGTTCAGGGTTCAGGGTTCAGGGTTTAGGGTTTAGGGTTTAGGGTTTAGGGTTTAGGGTGTAGGGTTGAGGTTTTAGGGTTTAGGGTTGGGTTTTAGGGGTTAGGGTCTGGGGTTTGGGGTTGGGGTTTAGGCAAGGGTTGCTCTCGACTTCCTGGGGCGATGTCGTGTGGTCAGCATCGCTGCTCTGAGGCAGCTGCGTGTTGCCAGCATTCTCGGCCACCTTCCTTTCCATGAGCCTCCAGCAATCGGTGGGATTCAGCAACCCCTACCTAAACTCCACACCGTGCGCGAGTGGGGAGCTGAGACAAACCGAGCCAAAAACCCTTCCTTGCAGCACAGTCTGCGTTTTGGTGGCTGGGGATTTCGGGGTCGAGAACTTGTGGGGCTTTGGGCTCGGGCTTTTCCACGAACTCGCGCAGCCAAGGCTTCAGGGTGCTTGGGCTTGGCTTTCAGGGCGTCAAGGCCCCGTCTAGACCCCGACAAACTCTGGTGAAGAAACTGCAGAGTGATGACACTGGACACGACTCAAGGGCTGCTGGACAGATTCTTGAGGACAAGTTGGTTATCCATACCGACTTCTGAAAGGTGGATCCTCCTGCGAGCGATGCTTAAAGCCGCCATGTACTGCAGGGTACTGTAGGACTTGTGAGAGGACATGCCAACCCAGCCCCCCACCTCACGCTCTGCAAAAAATGGCGCTCGGTGTGGTTCCACCTCCTCCACCTCCTCCACCTCCTCCACCTCCTCCACCTCCTCCACCTCCTCCACCTCCTCCACCTCCTCCACCTCCTCCACCTCCTCCACCTCCTCCACCTCCTCCTTTTGCTACGACAGTGACGACGACGAGGACTGCTGTTGCTCTCGAAAACGGACAACGGCAACGCCGCTGAATATGTCGCGCTCAGAAGCCTGACCAGCTAAGCTCCTAATTGAGCTCCAAGATCCAAGCATCCCCCCAAAACCTGAAGCCCAAGAAGCAAACATGCACGGAAACCTGAGGAGTGGACTGTTTATACTGGGAAATCATGACATTCTGGTGCTGCGGCCCAAGCATGGAAAGCGCCTTAGATGCCAGTGTGCTGCACAGCTTTGAAGCTGCAGTGGATATTCTTTCTGGGATCCGAAGCGCTGATAGAAGGTTCAGAGGCATTCTTGGTGTAGGATAGTGAAAAGAAAGGGACAATGCACTATTGATACCTTGCGGATCATTTATCAACTTGTATCTGTCCATGTCACACACACACACAAATAAACAAACCCCAGGCTCCCTCAACGGCCTTGCCCAGATGCAGAGCCGCGCTTTTGCCTTGAAGCGCGAAAGAAGTGCAGTCGTGCTCGGCCTGTGGAAGCTGAAGGAAACGACTTGGGAGTTTGCCTCAGAGAGCCGGCTGCTTTTGCAGCAACTTGAAACTCAAAGAGCGAGGGCCCTCTTGGAGCAGAAATGGTCTGCACATTGTCCCGCCCAAAAGGGCCTTGGGTAGGCCCCGGGAGAGACTTGAATCATCATGTTACAGCGGGCAATCTTGCCTACCGTCTGCCACAGGTTTATACACGTCAAGACTATAACAAACCCCAGGCTCCCTCAACGGCCTTGCCCAGATGCAGAGCCGCGCTTTTGCCTTGAAGCGCGAAAGAAGCGCAGTCGTGCTCGGCCTGTGGAAGCTGAAGGAAACGACTTGGGAGTTTGCCTCAGAGAGCCGGCTGCTTTTGCAGCAACTTGAAACTCAAAGAGCGAGGGCCCTCTTGGAGCAGAAATGGTCTGCACATTGTCCCATTCCCATATCCAAAGCCCTGGATGAGCGTCAGCTCAGCTGGAGTGTCGCAGCCGATCCACAAGCAAAGCGGGGAGCTGCTGGGATCTGGAACGAATGCTGGCCAAACGTTTTGGGTCGGCTTCGTCCCAGCGTTTCTGAAGAAGAGCATGTTTTTCATATCGAGCCACGCTCTGCCTGGCTCGCCACCTCCCACGCTTCTGCACCTGCTGCAAGTCCCGCCGCCTATGGAAGACGTCGTTCGACGCACCACTGTGCCGCAGTGTGCGGCATGATGCAGATGGACTTGTACTTCAGCTTGTGACACGCATTTCGGCACCAAGCTTCCAGCCGAGCCAGTGAGAGGTTTGGGAACAAGGAGTCAACGCATCTCGCCACCCAAAGTGTCATGGCTTCACGTAGCCAGTCCCTGTCGCCGAGCTCAGCGAGAAGCACTGAGTCATCGGAGTCGCCGGTTTTGGTGACCTCGCCCAACGCTGAAGGCGCCACGACAATGGCCCAGTGTTTGTAGCGAGCTCCTCGAGGCCGTCCAAGGTGTCGAAGGGTGAGCCCGATGCACTCGGAAGGCCGCATGTACGTGTCATACTGGATGAGGATTTCCAAGGCAATGTCGAGAGCGTTGTTCTCTATGAAGATGAGACCCATGGCGACCTTCATCTCTCGCCGGACAGAGGGCCAGAGTGGAGCTCTGTGGTCCAAATGTTCCGACATGAAGCGGTAGACGACCGAGAGGGAGGCCAGAGCCGGCCTGAAGAGCTGGAAGTGGAAGTTAATAAGGCCAAGCCAAACACGGAGGACACGACCGTTGACTCGCCGTCGTCGAAGTAGCCCACGGGTGGCCTTCCATAGCTTCCACGCCCGCTCTGTTTTTGACCTAGCCGTCGCCCCGTCTCTGAAGTCCAGAAAAAGCCCAAGGCTGTCAAGGCAGAGGTCCGGCTCCACGTTGTCCACTGTGAAGGGAATGCCCAGGTCCGCGAAGCGCTCCGAGATTTGGCCCATGCGACGTCCCGCATCCCCACACTGACCTCCAAAGGTGTGCACATTGTCAACGTAGACGCTGACGACAGGGAGCCCAGGCTTTACAGGTGGGGCGGGGCGCCGGTCTCGAACTTCATCTTCTCCGGGTCCAGCGCTGCTGAGGGAGGCCTGGTAGGAGACAATTTCATTCGCCAGAAAGAGGGCCCACGACCATCCCATGGGAACCCCTCGGAAGGCGGCAAAGACTCGTTCTCCCGGTTGAAGAGGGCGTGTGTCTCCCAGCTCGTCATCAAAGATGTTGCCAGGATGTAATCCCAATTCTTCCAATTCGTCTCCACTAAATGAATCGTCAAAAGCGAACCACTTTGACAAAGATGGCACGACAAAGTTGTAGAAGCAGTCCCCGACGTCGCCGGCCTCGGCTGAGACCTGGATCTTGCCGGCCTCATCTCGCCCCAAAAGTCCTCCGCATCCGTTTGCCACGAGCGTGTCCGGGGAAAGGTCAAGCGAGGTCAAAGAAGCCGGAGTTCCAAGCCTTGTGGTCGGAGGAGTGCGCTGGAAGGCGTTGGCCTGTCGAGCGTCAATGATCAGTCTCTGCATGCCATCTTTCTTCTTGACCATAAAGATGCCCGCTCGCGCCCTCCTGCGAAGGCAAAAGTCGAGGAGTTGGCACCGGTGTAACGCACGGTAGAGGTCTATGCGAAGCCGGTCATGGCGAAGCGCAGGGTCCCAGTACGGTTCGACCAGAACCCCAGACTCTGCGAGGGCCTGCTGCTCCTGGCGCGGTCGTTCCACCAGGTCTTCGAAGTAGTCGATGTAGCCCCTAACCTCGGGAGGTGCCAAGTCTCGAGCGTTTTGAGGGCATAGGCGTCGCTGAAGAATCTTCACTTTGCTTAAGTCACAGGATGCGAGGCTCACGCTCTCCTGGTTGTACAGGTTGGCGCGCTGGTTGAGCTCCTGCAGGGCGGATTCCTCGGTGACATTGTCCGGACAGTTCCCGTACAACAAGACCCGTCTAGAGACGTCGGAGAGGATCCACTTCTGAACTGCAGTCAGAGGGAGCCCAGGAAAAATGGCTTTGTCGTTACTGGCAGCGGCGAGTGTGTTCAAAGACCGCAGGCTGCAGTCTACCCGCCGAAGCTGCTCATTGCGTTCTGACCCTTGGCTGCAAAAGTGAGGAGGTAGCCGAGGGAGAGGAAAAGGGTCTCCATGCCGTCGTCGAAGAGAAGGCGACCGGATACTGAATTCGTGCCATGCATCTGCCTTGGAGTCGGGGCGCCAGGACATGTCCCAGGCAGCAGCACCCCGAGATGTCTCTCTTACTTGCCGTCCCGGCCACCCGAGCCGGCGGCCGTCGGATCTTCACCTCCCTTGCCTTTCTTCTTCTTTTTCTTCTTTCTTGTCCCGGCAGCGGAGCCCCCATCTTCAGAAGACGAGTCGCCGCCCTGGCCTTTGCCGCCTCGTCCTGCCCGAAGCTGGCGCCTCTCCTGGTTGAAGAGCCGCTCCTGCTTCCAGATGGAGGCCCTCTCCTTAAGGCGGTTGCTGACCCACTCGGAGAACTTCGAAGTGCTGGCCCTTCCATCTGGAAGTTGGGCGGCGCCGCTGACGATGTCCAAGCCGGAGAAGTCAGGCTGGTGAGGGTTCCGCTCGACCGCGAGCTCAACTTGGATGAGCCAGCGCACCATGTGCTCCCCGCTCGCTAAGACCGAAGTGTCCACCTGGTCAAAGGAGTGCATCAGGCGAAGAGCTTCGCAGAGTGAGCGGTGTATGTGCGCTGCGCTTGTCTTCTTGTTGACGCCCGAGAGCCTGAGCCATTCTGAATGGTAGATGAGGAACTCCCCCGCGCTTGCTGCGACGGCCTCGTGGAGCTCCTTGGCCGCCCGGACCCCGCCGATTGGGAACTCCTTGTCCTCGACATTCTTCATCAGGGCGACGGCCTCCTTCAAGTCCAGTCGCTTCTTCCCAGCAGCATCACGGTGGTCGCCGAGAAGTCTGACATCCGAAAGGTCAAGGCCTCTCTTCTTGCGCCAGGTCTCGAGGTCGCGGGTCATAACCCGCTCCACGAAGAGTTCTTCACCTCCACGTATGACCACGCCCTTCAGGGTGAACGCCAAGCCTGTCGCCTCATTCCCAAGCAACCCGGCACCGTCGAAGCTCCAAAACGACACCCGCAAAGGAAGCCCTAAACCCTGAACCCTGAACCCTAAACTCCAAACCCTGAACCCTAAACCCTAAACTCTAAACCCTAAACCCTAAACCCTAATTAAACCCTAAACCCTAAACCCTACACCCTAAACCCTCAACCCTAAACCCTAAACCCTACCGCCCCTGAGGGCAGGGCCGACATCCTCCGAGCCAGGCCTCCAGGGGCCTCTGCCCCCGGGAAGTGGCAGCGCTGCGTCTACGATGCTGCGAGCCGGCGGCCCGGGTTTGGGGTTTAGGGTTTAGGGTTTAGGGTTTAAGGCTTAGGGTTTGGGGTTTGGGCTTGGGGTTTGGGGTTTGGTGTTTCGGGGTTCGGGGTTCGGGGTTCGGGGTTCGGTTCGGGGTTCGGGGTTCGGGGTTCGGGGTTCGGGGTTCGGGGTTCGGGGTTCGGGGTTCGGGGTTTCGGGGTTCGGGGTTCGGGGTTCGGGGTTAGGGGTTCGGGGTTCGGGGTTCGGGGTTCGTTCGGGTTCGGGTTCGGAGTTCGGTTCGGGGTTCGGGGTGGGGTTCGGGGTTCGGGGTTGGGGGTTTGGGGTTTGGGGTTTGGGGTTTGGGGTTTGGGGTTTGGGGTTTTGGGGTTTTGGGGTTTGGGGTTGGGGTGGGGTTTGGGGTTTGGGGTTTGGGGTTTGGGGTTTGGGGTTTGGGGTTTGGGGTTTGGGGTTTGGGGTTTGGGGTTTGGGGTTTGGGGTTTGGGGTTTGGGGTTTGGGGGGGTGTAGGGTTTAGAGTTTAGGTTTGAGGTCTGGGGTTGAGGGTTGGACCGAAGCCCTGAACCCTAAACCCTAAACCCACGGCACCCTAAGTAGCTTCAGGAAAGGCCCTCAAGCCCTAAATCCTACACCCCACATCCTGCACCCAAGATCTCTTTTTTTCAAAAACGGCCAACTCAAGGAAATGGATTCATGTGCAGCGAGGGCAACCTGTATGCCAGATCCGCACGAGCCGCACGGCGAAAGCATGGGGCTTTTGCTTGGGGTTTTGGGCTTCGGGCCTAGCATGGTGGCTTTCGGGGAGCCTCGAAGGTTCCGCCCCGCAAAACCCGCCACGGCAGCTCAATTTTCAGAGCGACGCAGGCGGAGCGTGTGGGATGAACCTGGGCAACATTTTCTTCGGGCGGCTTCGGGTTTCCTTGTATCGTTTCGGGGCTGGGGGGCCATGCCTGAAGTACAGGCTGTATAGGGATATTAGACCTTAGGAGCTATGGAAATTATCGGATCATGGGGATCATCAAGAATATGAAGATTACATGCAGTCTGGGGGGCATTTGAGGTTGCATGGTCCATACTCTTCCACTTTTCACAAGCCTTCCATTCAAATGCTGCATTCTGCATCGCTGGGTTTCAGATTGAGGCCGCCGGGTGTGGAGTCAGGGCTTGGGCGAAATTATCCCCTGGATCTTACGAGGACCGCAGGACCCCTACAGCACTTCCGGAATATCGTCCGGCGGCCCATCCATCTCTGCAGGTGGGTGGGCTTTTCTTTGCGTTTCAGGTTTAGGGTTTAGGGTTTAGGGTTTAGGGTTTAGGGTTTAGGGTTTAGGGTTTAGGGTTTAGGGTTTAGGGTTTAGGGTTTAGGGTTTAGGGTTTATAGGTTTGAGGGTTCAGGGTTTAAGGTTGGGGTTTAGGGTTAGGGTTTAGGGTTGAGGGCTGCGGGTTTAAAGGGTTTAGGGTTTAGGGTGTAGGGTTTAGGGTTTAGGGTGTGTAGAAGGGAAGCTCGCTAAAAGCACCCCAGGCCGCTCGCTTGCGCTATCATGTAGTCCCACCCAACTATTCTCATTTAGGGTTTAGGGTTCACCCCCCAAACAGGAAGACTGCCCCTGCCGCAGGGCGGTCCCAAAAGCCTCCTGAAACCTTCTGGAGCCCGTTGGTGGCTCGTGGGGCTTTTCGAGGCTTGCGTGTGGTAAAATGAGGGGCGCCCAACCGTCGTTTTAATACTAAAAGATTTTACCCACATGTTTAATGCGGGTCCGGGGGCAAATCCTGGATCCCCCCCCTCTTTTGGGGGTCTCATGAAGGGAAGGAGGGTGGCTCGACGGGCCCCGGCCAGCCTTGCTGAGGTCAGGTAGACGGGCAGCAAAACTGCGGGGGGGAAGCAGGGGCCTCGGCCGGCCCTGCTCCCAACCGTGGGGCAGCAAAGGGGTGGAAGGCATATGGACAGCGGCGCTCTTGGCAGTTTAGGGTTTAGGGTTCAGGGTTTCGGGTTTAGGGGTTCAGGGTTTAGGGTTTAGGGTTCAGGGTTTAGGGTTTAGGCTTTAGGGTTTAGGGTTTAGGGTTTAGGGCTTAGGGTTCAAGATGAGTGTGGTTGAGTGGAACGGCGTACGCGATTGTGAATCCAGAGAGGGAGAACGGGACAGGAAGAGGAAGGTGGAAAGCAGGCCCCCATCCCTTTTGCTGCAAAATCCCTCAGCTCCACGTCCCCTCAAAGCCTGAACCCTCAAGCTTCAACTTGGGCCCGCGCAGGAACACAAGGGTTCGGCCACGGCCTGCAAGGGTGACACGTTCAGGGTTTAGGGTTTAGGGTTTAGGGTTGAGAGTTAAGGCTTTAAAGTTGAGATGGGTGTTGAGGGCCTGGGCTCGGGTAGGTTTGGGTCGTTTGGGGTAGGTGGTCAGCTTCTTCTGCCCCTGCGGTGAGGGCTTGAGACCAGGAGCAGCAAAGCGAAAGGTACCAGGTACTGGGCCTTACTAGGGGGGTAGACAGTCTGCAGGGAGGGCCAGCTTTTTCAGGCTGCATCTGAGGATGTAGCTTGTCTGGGCTTGTCGGTACACAAAGCTCAAGCAGCTCCCCCGCAGCGACGGCACAGGCAAGCAGCATTCGGAGGCAACCCCAACACCATTCAATCTCAGTGGGTTCGAGGGAGTCATGAATGGGTTGTGGGGAGCATTCTCAAGAGACTGGCGTGCATCGTCAAACCACCCTGCATGAGTAACCATGCATAAATCACTCGTGCATGCTGAGATGCCCTGAACCCTAAACCGCTTGCAGAATGAATTTCCGAGCATGAACCACGGCTGCAACAAGACCAAGTGTGGAGGCTGCGCCGATTGCAACAGCATTTCATGAGTGCTCGTCGTGCTCGCAGCCGCTAGCACTCAATCACAGCTGGGGTACTTCATTCAAACGAGCGTGTATGCTAAAGACGTTGCCTGCCTAAATGGGCCCGCACTGCCGTGAGCTCTTCGAAAGATCCTGTGCTGGACCCCTACTCATAGTTCTCGAACCTTAGGCCGCAAAACCTGGATGGAAGCTGCAAGGGAGATACCCTGGCCCCGGTGGCTGGGACTGCGCAGATGTTCCAAGGTCGGCCAAGAACGAGCAGGCATGTCCTGCCTTGCTGGCTATTTGACATCGGCCATGGACTAGGCTTGCCCTTGAAAACCTCTGAGAAGATTTTCAATGTCACGATGTCCCACGGTCCTGCCTTGTCAAGCTATCAGACACACAACTGCCAACTTCAAACCACCTTAATTCTGGCAGACGTACACGCCTGCCAACGGCAGTTCTCAAGGGCAGGGATGCAGGCTCGGTTCAACGCTCGCTGCCGAGCATACGAGATTGGCATTTTCGCACGTGCAGGTCCAGGATGGCTGCCTGGAATCCTCAGATGATTTTTTGTCTGTCATCCCTCTCCCCCTGTGTTCGAGCCAGATGGGCCTCCCAGCAGCAAGAAGACTGGCGAACTTAACTGCTGCTAACACAAGCTTTCCGAGTCAGAAGTCCTGCTGTGGGGCCGCACTGCCTAGCGGAGTGTGGCATTAGATACATCGATACATCTATCTCTGTTGGGGCCCAGGTTGCAGGCCCGCCGACCGTGGATTCCCTTCTCCTCTGCCAAGCCTCTTGAACCTGGGTAGTTTTCTGATGACCGTCCATTTTGGGGAAAGGGGTACCCTGATACAAGGCCCCCAAAATAGTTAGATAGACCATGACAGGCTGCTAGGGCTCAAGATTGGCCTGGGAAGTCTCTCATATAGGGACCTGAATAATTAGAATGGGGTTTTGGGGGCATGCGTGCGAAAGCCTGTCCAAGTCGGTAGGGGGGTTTTTGGGGGGTTATTGTGGTATAATTACAAAGGGCCCATAAAGGAATATGATTTGTAAATATTCCGACCCCTTACATTAGAGTTGGTACTGGTGGGGGGCCAGGTTCCTCAGCTTCCAGCAGAGGTGAGGTTTGTCCACGGAGGCGCACATGAGCAAGTCATCCCCCAAACCCTAAGCCCCAAGCCCATAAACCCTAAACCCTAAACTCCTGAACCCCTGAACCTTCGGACCCCCCACTCCTCTCGCCTGTGGCTCGGCGCGAGCAGGTAATATAATCCGAGCTCCTGTTTAATTAAACCCCCTATATTTGAAGAAAAATTTTTTGCCCGGATTCCCGCCGGAAGACTACTTTCCATTACGATGGATTTCGTATGGGCCAAACCCCCCACATTTAAAGAATTTTTGTTTGCGGGGGTTGTCAAATTTTGAAACTCTGCCTTTCTGAAAGCTTTTTTCTTCTGCAGGGACGTTTGGGTTCTTATTGTTTTGTAATAGAGAAACCATACGGGGCCATGGTCCAACTATTGCGGAACCCTGCCTTCCTTATTGTGGGGGGGGGGGGCCCCCCCCAATTAAACAGGAGCTCGGATTAGAACGGACAACCGAGCTTCCCCGGAAAAGCCAGGGCCGCTGGAATTCCCGCGTTTCTGGTGCTTGGGATTTTGGGATCAAGGATTTGGGTTAGGAGACTGTAGGGGCGGGGGCGCAGGGTGCTGACGCCCGTGGCCTAGCGGAAGCTGCCCGAAACTGCAAATACGCAGCACTCAACACATCCTCTGATGAAGCTGAGTAAGAAAGCCAAGCAGAGTCTCTGCAGACGCGATCGCGGAGGGTGCACATTCCCATCCGTCTCACGCAGGCAGATCAGGCGCTTCATTTTACAATCTATATAGGGCTTCAGGATGTGTTGGGCCTGATCTGCAAACCCCACGAACATCGTGATGCAGAGGTGCCATCAGCCTCACTTCCAATCGTAGGTGCTCGAAGCTTTCCTAAGGGACAGCGACATGGAACTTATTGACACTGGGCCTCTGACTCCCTCCCTGTTTTCATGGTCCAGACCTCCAAGTCTAAGTACGAGCACAATCCCTCAAGTTGGCCAGAAGAATTAGAGCATCCCAGAGATTTTTGTAGGGGGCGGCTGAGACTGTTGCAGACTTTGAAGGGTCTTCCGTGATTCAGCAGGCCTAGCAGCTGAGAACATTGTATTCCTGCCGCGGCAGCTGTGCCCTAAGCATCGTCCAGGGCCATGCGCCTCGCCTACAAACCAATGGCATCCGAGACCTTAAGCTTTGCCTCAGTCCTTTCCACATGCTACACCACCCTCCAAAATAGTCTTCCCCTAAAGCCCCAAAACCCTAGATACCCTAGATACCCTAGAAACCCCAAAACCCGAAAATCCCAAACCCCAAACTCTAAGTTGCAACGCCCAAGCGAAGCCCAGCATCGTCCGCCTCTGGAAATCCAAGGTGGCTGATCATCGAAGCAATGGTCAAATTGCGCAAACCGCGCTCGAGGTGTTGGCGCTCCTGCAGCAGTGCTGCCCTTGCTCTTGCTTTCTCTCGGCGAGCCAAGGAAGAGGACATAAACACCAAGAAGAACCGAATGTCAATGTATGCGACATTGTATCCAGACGAGCCATCAGGTAGCCTTGCTGCATCCAGGCAAAAACATCCTACTGAAGAAACCAATCAAGGACTACATGCTAACTGGGTGCAAACGCTGGGGCCGCCTGGGTGGAGGACTAGTCGGAGAGTCTGCCAAGACTCTTCGCAGTACTCCATTCAACATCTGGAGTTTATGAAGATAGGGGACAATAGGGGGATCCCCTTTTTGATAAGGACTCCAATATGGTACCCCGAATATCGTAAACCCCCGTATGCGAAAGCTATGCTAAGGAGTGTCTTCTTCGCATGGGATCCGCGTGCCATCCCTGCCATTTCAACGTGATGAAATTCATGGCATCAAGGAATAAGGAGCCACATCAAACGCGCTTGCAGAACTTGCTTCCGGATTCATGTAGTAGAGAGCCAAACTATGATTTCTTCAAAGGTTTTCAGGAGCTTCGTCGCAAGAACACCCAACACCGCCACAGGAAGCATCCGAAGCATGTGGATTGCAACGGATGCCCCCCAAGCCCTCAAAGCCTCTAAGACTCTAAGTACCCATCTCAACCCCCACTCCCGCAGCATCCCCACAGGCCTTGCGGCGCAAAAGTATTGGAGGCTCCTGTATCCTCGCCTGACAGGTTGCAAGTTTCAGGTTTGGCTCTTCACCACAGTCTTGGTTGCCAAACGATCGAGCAGCTAGAGCATTGGAACAGCAAAAGCTCGATGGAACCGGTTAAGTTGCAACATGCTGGCAAGTTCTTCTCAAGACGGAATACGCATGCACATTTGCAACCCGTCTGCGGCCCAGAAAATGCTTTACGGGGCAGTGCTCAGGGGGCTGCGGCTTGGACCTCCGAACCCTGATGGCATGTGCGCTGCCCAATCGATTCGAGTCTCAACCAACTTCCATGATGAGACACCTATCTCGGTTCACTACAAATTTCAGAAGAGCCGCTGTCGTTTCCGACGTCGAGCTATTGTTGCCCAAGCTTGTTTCGGAAACGCTGTTGGATTCAAGATGCGGCGCGTCTCAGCAAAGCCGAGCTGATGTTGCCTGCCGAATATCAATTATCTATTTACTCCACCATGGAGCAGCTGTGTGCGCGCACGCCTGCTTGCAGCGGCTTTTGCTATGCAGGGGGCGCCCTATGGCTTCAACGTCTTTCGCAGGAACCCTCGTGTTGAAGAGCTTTTTCGGGCGCCCCCAGTGCTCCCGCCAAGTCGACCTCTCCTGTGGCCGTCCACAGAATGCAGAAGCCCACTTTTCCGTGCTTCATCAATGAAGTCGAAGCCGATCTAGGCAGGGACGTCGTCAACATCTTCACAGACGACCAGAGTCTCCTCAGAACCTCTCTCTGAGGAATGTTGCACCACTTGGTGGACCGAAGAATGCGCGGCTAGCAGCCTCACTTTTACAGCCGTCGCAGCTGAAGAGTCTGTACTTCTGACTGCATGTAAGAATAGCAGTGGCGAAATGCAGGCATCACAATCTGAACGACCGTTCGATGTGGCGAATCAAGCGACACATCATTCGCTTCGCCTTGTATTCCTTTTTTTCAAGCTTTGATGTCACCATACCGTCTCATCAACATGCATGTGCTTGGGTTCACTTCTCCGTTCACTTTGATTGGCCCGTATGGCACCCGATTGCTTCTTCACATGGACCCGTTGAAGGTTGCAGCTGTTCGCAAGCTCTTACATGTTTCGCAGTTCTCAAACCCACAACCCCTGAACCCTAAACCCTGAACCCTAAACCCGAAACCCTGAACCCTGAACCCTAAACCCTAAACCCTAAACCCACAACCCCTGAACCCTGAACATGGAGTATCGCGCTGTCCGCGCTCCCTTGCCCCATCCTCCATCAACTCCAGCAGCTCGATCGCGGCCTCTGTCTGAGCCACCTGTCAGGTCGGAAAAAATGTTTAGGGTTTAGGGTTTAGGGGTTTAGGGGTTTAGGGGTTTAGGGTTTAAGGTTTTAGGGTTTAGGGTTTAGGGTTTAGGGTTTAGGGTTTAGGGTTTAGGGCTACGGGCTAAGGGCCCGTTAGGGTTACGTGATGAGGGCTGGCTCAACCAACATGTCGGTGGGGCAAGGCGTTTCTAGTGAGATCCCTACACTCGGATCACCTTGACAGCAATTTTCTTGCCTGCTATGCACTGACAGGATGAAGAATTCGGCGGCTCGAGCCGTGAATTTGGAATGCTTCAACCCTCAACCATGAAGCCTAGGCCCTGAATCCTACCCTAAGCAGTTGAATTCCGACTGTAAAGAGGAGAGCGCCCGGTAGAGTCGTCATCTCGACACATCGTTGATACAGGAGCCTAGACAACCTTGTACCCCACAACAAAATCCCGCGATACCCTGTTCTCATTCAGCAGCCCTAAACCCCAAACCCCAAACCCCAAACCCTAAACCCCAAACCCTAAAACCTAAACCCCAAACCCTAAACCCCAAACCCCAACAAGCCAAGCTCTCCTGAACCCTGGTGCCTCTCCCAGCTTCCGCCGGAGGTGGGGAATCATGAACCCCACGAGCTGCCCGGGCGTCAACCGTTGGAGGACGGAGCGCTGGCTGCGATCTGGCTTGGAGTGGTTCCCATGGTCCTTCGGGACTCTGCTGAGGCACGTAGGGTTTAGGGTTTAGGGTTTGGGGTTTGGGGTTTGGGGTTTAGGGTTTAGGGTTTGGGGTTTAGGGTTTGAAATTCAAGTGCCTCGTATAGTTCACACAATTAAGGTCAGCAGTGTCCTTCGGTCCAATGATGAGAAGAGAGCTAGGCTAGCTGCTGACGTTGACGTTACACGAAGTCGGGCGAAAGCCGATGCGCACCCTATGCCAGAAACCCCCGGGATCTTTCTTGCCCTGAAAAGCAGGGTCCGTGTAGTGACAGAACTTGCAAGAGGAACCCATGTGGCCCACGTGGCTCATTGCGTTCTTCAAGATGTAGACGCATGGCTTGCGGCATAGGAGAGGATGCCCATGGCTCCCTGGATTGTCGAGGAAGTTGGTTTCACCTGCGCTAACATAACATCCACAACGTGCATATATATATATATATGTATATATGTCATATATATATATATGTATACACTGCGCTGGGGTGCGCGTTTTTGCATGGAGATTCAAACCATGGAACTCGGAAGTAGGTCGAAGAAGTACACCACGGTTCTCCCAGCTTACCACAGCTATGCCTTCAACAGCCTACCATCCTTCAACACAAGGCTCACTTGCTGTGCGAAGCGAGAGCAGGATGACAAAGCACATGGACATCAAACCCTGAGCACCAAAACCTTAACCCAAACAAAAATGCCAAGTACTAACTGCCGCGAAGGCTGGTCTTCGGGAAAGCTTCGGGCTTGCAAGTTTGGGGCTAAGGAAGCACTCCTGCCTGGCCTTGCTCTGCCTGCACCTCACATGAAGCATCCGGTTGCAGGACAAGCCCCAAGGAGACTTCTGGCTGCACCTGGGCTGCTTGCAGGCTTGGGCTTGGGCCCTTTTGGGCTTAAGGACTTGGCGGTCCTCATTCTTGTCGAACAAACATAGCAACAGCTTTAGGAACAATAGGAACAATCGTAAATCAGAAGAACAGATGAACAATAATGATAGTCATGGTCGCAGTAGTCATACAAGAAGGAGCAATAGCAACAACAGGAACTCCGACGAGAGGTAGCAGTAGTCATGGTGAAAGTACTATCCCGACAGGCATCGCAACAGTAATTCGTAGTAGGTAGCAACAGACAGGAATCAAAAAACATGTTTACAAAAAACTCCAAACACCTTGGGCGAGATGGGCCTTAGGGACTGGGAACCTCAGAGCCCAGAAACATCTCACCACATAATATAGTGGCCTGAATACTTAGAATAGGGTATTGGGGGGTTACTATAGTATACTTACAAAGGGGGCCATAAGGGAGGATAATTCGCAATGATTCCGACCCCTTTTATTACAGCCAAGGGCACTCCTGGGGGCGGAAACGAGCGAAGGATGCCCTGAAGGGTGTTCTCACCAGTCACCATGGCAGTCCTATGGACTTCAAGAGAATCTGGGCCAGGGTTTGTTCATGGGGGCCGAGCTGAAACATCATCTGACCACCGGTACCGCGCGACCCGGAAACAGAAGCTCGACGCACAAACTCACTCGTCGCTCAGAAAGCAGTTGTCACAATGATTCTCACGGCAAGGCTTCACATGCGGCCGGCTTCTGGGAAAGTCTCGGGCAATCGTTGCTTGGGAGAAGCTCGGCTTTAGTGCGAAATCACCGCACATTCTCAACCCTGAGCCTCCTGTCACTTCTCCTACCCTTTTCAGGCTCCCGAGAATCTGTGTGCGGTTCGGTCACAGGTAGCAATGTAAGTTGCTCGGCGGCACATTGTTCAGGGTGCACAGTCAACGGACATCGATTGTGTGGCGAAGTACAGCCGCGCAGTGTATGGACCATGACAAGAACAGCCACACATCAGCCAACAGCGCGTGCATCTGCTCTCCGCCATGACTGATGGACTGATGACTCAACACTCTGATCCAGCCCTGAACCCTAAACCGCAAGATGGGCGTGCCTCATCGCCCACTCCATGCCTATATGGATCGGACCTCTGAGCTTAGGACCGTGGATGAGAAGGCTGCCCTCTCACTTGGGATGGCTCCGTCGCATTTAAAGGAGGACGTATAGGAATTAGATGAAGCTAAATGTTTGGCCCTTCGTGGTGCCCACAGCCATAAGAAATATACGAGAAGGGAGACCTCATAAGCGGCCAATAATTTAGATGTCTAGGATATCGGGCCTAGGAATTCTAGGGACGCGAGGGATGAAAGGGATTGTAGGGATTACAGGGATGAATGGAACTGAACACAGGTTCTCCATACCCTTCAGCTTTTCACAAGAAGCCAACGCATTTGCTCCACTGACATGCTGCCTTTAGTTTGGCTCAGGGCTTAGGATTTCGGTGTAGGTTTCAGATTTAGGCTTTAGGATCGTGGGTTTTCAAGCGCGGGGTCCTTTAGAAGAAAGTTCATGGGGCATTACAATGTAGCTTGGACACTGGACACCCACAGCCCTGGAAACCGAACACGTAAACAAGCCTCGAACGCAAGAAGAGCTTTCCATGCTTGGGCCGCACCAGGTGGCTGTCATGATCTTGCAATGCAAACAGACCACACGCTAAGTTGGGAGACGAGGATATGAACGCATCGGGCAACTGAGTATCTGTGCCCCTGCTCAAGTGAGAAACTCACGGAGGACGGCTCCAGATGCACCAAGGTGGGGACATGGGTTTAGGGGGCTTGGGGAAGGAGGGGGGGGGGGGGGGGGGGGCTGAGAGGTTTCGGTTGGGGTTTCAGGGTCCGAGCTCGTGCTTTGCAAGGCTTCGGCTCGCTCGGGATCAACTTCAGGCAGTTAAGGGCCCCTACATAGCTTCCTCTTCCGTCTTTTCCATCGCCTTCCCGGTCTTTTTTCGGATTTGCCCCCCCGACAGATGGGATTTGTTGATGGGGCTGCCCCCTGGCTTTAGAGACAGTTGGGATTAATATTACTACTATTATTCTTGTTACTACTATTATTTTTATACAATTATTCTTATGATTCTTATTACCATTATTGAGGAGCATTGTGGGCTTACACCTCCTGACCTTGGCAGCATCTGCAAAATGCAACAGGTCAACAAACGAAGATGCAGGAACTGCGACACCTGTGAGCTGCTAACGCAATGATGAGCGGGTTTAGGGTTTAGGGTTTAGGTTTTAGGGTTTAGGGTTTAGGGTTTAGGGTTTAGGGTTTAGGGTGGCGCCCTTGGGCACGGCTTCTCTGGGACAAATGAAAACACTATGCCCGTTTCCCTACAAAAGCGGTTCGGGTGGAGTGCCGAAAGGCCCTGAAACCCTAAATCCTGCACCCCAAACCCTGCACTCCACATCTTTTTTAAAGACAAAGTAACGCGAGAAAGGATCCAGGCACCGGCGGTGAGGGCAACCTTTATGCCAGCAAACTATGTCCGCGGGGGCCGGACGGCGAAAGTATGGCTCCAGTCGGGGTTTAGGACTCAGGGCATAGAATGCCTTAGGGTTTTGATTAGAAGCGTTGCAAACCAGAGTTGGCGGCTTTCCCACCTCCACAACCTCCGACTCTCGGGGGGGGCTTTGGGAGTTTGAGGGGTTGAGGAGTTGAGGGGTCGGGGGAGTTGAGACTTTAGGGTTTCAAAGCAAAATTTTTAAGGGACCACATCGCAGAGAAGTGGCCATGTAGAGTTTAGGGTGCAGCGTGGGTCGTTCGAAGCAAAAACGAAGCGGAAAACCTTCCCTCAAAAAAACCACGGGAAACCTATAAGAGAACCCCTAGCGACCCCCAACACTTCGGGGGCCCGTGGTGCGGATGATTCACTGTCCGGCCTCCCAAGGCCCGTGGAAAGGTCTAGCACCAAAGAGTGGTTTCCGGGTTCTGGTGAAGTTTAGGGTTGAGGGTTTAGGGCTTAGGGCTTGGGGCTCTATCAGAGATGGATGCAGGATGCGCCATGATGGGCAGGAAGGGCCAGCTCACTCCAGCACGATCTGGGCGCGGGGCTTTACGGTTCGAGCTTTCGGGGTGTCAAGATTGACTGGAAGGCCTCAGGGTTTAGGGTTTAGGGTTTAGGGCCTCCCACACAAAAAGCAATCGAAGTTGCTGCTTGCATCAGGTTGCCAGAACATGAGTATACAGTGAATAATCAGCAGCTGAATCAGCTGAACTTCAGTTCCTCAATCGCCCCCCCCCCCCCCCCCCCCCCCCAGCTCCACAACAAAAATTGCCCCACCCCAAAACTAGGCAATCCGACGATGGGCACTGATGAGATCATCTGGGATGGATGAGAAAGGACCCTTCGACATAGAAGGTGAATGCTGCGGGGGGGTCTCGAGACTAAGCGCGGAGAATCGCTGAGTAGATTATCCAACAACCTCGCACTGAAAATGAGGGGAACAAGTGACGTAGGGGGGGGGGGGCTTGGAAAGTTTGGGTGGGACTAGTGCGCAGGGATCTAATCTCGGCATCCAGCCTTTCTGTTGTGACTTCGGGCAAAATTTTACGGTATCCGCGGGTTCAGAGGGTTGAGGGACGGGGTTCAAAGGCACAGGATGGTATCCTGCGCGGTCAGAGTGCAAAATGAGTGGGGCGCCTCGGTTTTGGGTTTCGGGTTGAGGGTTTCGGTTCAAGTCGAGGGTGCTTGAGGTTGAGTGATTCAGGGCAGGACTTGCCTCCCCACCAACTGCTGCCAGCTTCTCTTTGAGCGCCTCAGCTGGGATCTGGGCCGTTGGCCCTATGTCTTTTACAGCGGGCGAAAGGTCGAACTCGCATGATGACTGCTCCTGCAAAAACACTACCGCCCTGAAGCCCTCATGGCCCTGACCCCTGACGACTCAAACACCAGAGAGTCCCTAAACTGTAAACCCTCAAGGCTCCACCTAAGGCTTCCGTCCCTCACCGCGCGCCTCCGCCTCTTCTGCAGGGACTCCCTTCTTAAGCTGGCGCGAGGGCGAAGGCGGCTCAGACTTCTTTGGGGTCTGGGCTGGTTCAGGCCTCAGGGCGTGGGGTGCGACTGGACAAGCCATGCTCCGCCACGACGCATCGTAAGTGAAACCGCCCGAGAAACTGCAACTAAATCCCCAGACCCCTCCAACTCAACTCGTAAAGAAGCCCACCCCCCCCCCTCGTCCTCCTTGCGAATTCGCCAGCTCGAGAACCAGACCCTCTGCACCAAGCGGAGTTTTAAAGGGGAGGCTCCAAGTTCAACAACAAACCACCCCATCCCAGACCCTAAAGGGTTATCTACATGGAGAAGTACACCAGCACACAGAAACCTGAACAAGACCCTAAACATACACCCAGGTAAGCGAGTCGGCGAAGACCACTTTGGGAGCTGACTCCACGATCTCCTGAAGCCCGCAAAAGTTTTGGGTTTCGGGCCTCGGGTGTGGGGTTTAGGGTTTAAATCCTAAAACCCGAAACCCCAAAGCACCTAATCTGAAATCCTCATGCCCTCAAATGTGTAGGGCCTGCACACTCCCACAGCCTTAACCAAAGCCTTGAACCTTCAAAGCGGCCGATACCCTGAACCCCAGCCCTCCAATACAGGGTTTACATGCCCCTAGCACAACCCATCTACTAGAGCTTACAAACCCCCAAGCGGAGGGCGTGCATCAGACTCGCAGTCCGAACCTAGCGAGGTTTAGAGCCCAGCTCTGTGCAGGAGGGGCCCTTGAGTCCGAAGTTGGTAACGCCTGAGCCTGTGGGTCTGAAGGGTTTGGGGGTCAGAGACTGGAGCTCGAGGGCCTTTAGGGTTTAGGGTTTGGGGCTGGTTTAGGGTTTGTCCTAAGGTGCGCCAAAGAAGAGAAGAAGACAGACCCTTCCGCCCTCCTCCCCCTCTTAACCCTCAACCCGAAACCCTAAACCCTAAACCCTAAACCCCTCCCCACCCCTCGGCTTTCCAGGCGCCTTGGATTCTTTGAGCCCCGCCCCGGTGATGGCACGGACCTGACGGATTTAGGATTCACATCATTTAGGATTCACATCGGGTTGGGGTGGTTTTGCATAGGTTCAAGGTTGACAGGGTAGACTCTGTGTTTCCAAGCTCGGCTGATGTTGTGACTTGCCATCCCGGCGCGAAGAATGTTTCAAAAGCCCACAGGCTTGAACCAGTACGCGCCAGATCAACCTAAACTTGCCCTAAACCCTAAACCCTAAACCCTAAACCCCAAACCCTAAACCCTAAACCCTAAACCCCAAACCCTAAACCCTAAACCCCCAAGCCCTGAACCCTATTTCTTCCATGTAGACCCAATGGCTGACTGACGGCATCGCTCGGCTCCGGGTGCAAACTCGACTGCTGCGCCCGAAGCGCAAGCAACAGGAACATGAGCTCCCTCAACCATCAGCCCTCAACCCTCAGCCCTCAACCCTCAACCCTAAACCCTCAACCCTCAACCCTAAACCCTAACCCCTAACCCTAAACCCTAAACCTTAACCCTAAACCCCAAACCCCATATCAGAAAAACCTTAGCCCTCAACCCTAAACCCTGCACCCCAAACCCTAAAACCTGAACCCTAAGCCCTGAACCCTACAGTAAGCTCCAAAGTTGGAACATCCTTATCCTCATACCCCAAGGTATACTAAAGGGAATCCCAGCTCTAATCATCCTGAAACCACGTTCCAACAACCCTAAACCCTAAACCCTAAACCCTAAACCCTAAACCCTAAACCCTAAACCCTAAACCCTAAACCCTAAACCCTAAACCCTAAACCCTAAACCCTAAACCCTAAACCCTAAGCCCTGCATCCAAAAGAGACCCTCCGGAAGCCTCCTTGACGACGTTAATCTTCTTCGATGTGTCGTAGCTCACCTTGAGGAGGCGTTGTTTAGGGTTTAGGGTTCGGGGTTTAGGCTTTAGGGTTTAGGGTTTAGGGTTCAAGAGTTCCTGGTCGAGCAGTTTCTCGTTTAGGTTCTGTGTTTAGAACATCGAAAAATACCCACCCACCCGAAGTTCCCATAACGTTAAGAAATAAAAAGGTTCTTCTTTTTATTAGGATGGCTCAACAACAAAATGCATGA